TGGCCTCTACGATTGAGCAGTTGGACGCACTCTCATATCTAGGCACATTACGGCAAACCAACCCCTTGACAAGAACGAAACATTCCACGAGATAAACAGAGGGCCGCGTCTGCAGATAACGTAAAAGACAAAAAGAAAAAAAAAAAGAAGTGACGCAAAGGGAGGGCAATGGAGAAATGAGCAGAAATGGGTCGTCCGCTAATCTGGATGATTCATCTCCGAAGAATCGCTTGCGGCCGACTCTTCATTAAAAACCGCGACGGACCACGAGATACGTACGCTTCGCCGCAAACGGCGTGTGTACATTAAACTTGAAAAGTCACGGTGGTTTGAGAAAAAAAAAAAAAGTAGGGCAACAGACAATCTCGAATATAAACGAATAATAATAATAAAAAAAAAAAGATGTGCGTAAAGATTTCTCCGATTTAAATCGCTAAACATTTTCTACATTTTTTTTTCTTGCGCGCGTGTGTGTGTGTGTGTGGGGGGGGGGGGGGGGGGGGGGGGGAATTCTGACCGACTGTTAATTTAGGTGGTTCGTTCCTCCCATTAAATGCGCGACGAGCAGGCAAGATGCACGGAGAGCAAAAAATCAAAGAAAGAATCAATGCCCGAAGTTTAATTATCCACAAAGCACAGCTGCTATATATACCATGCACATAGTACGCCGCACTTGCAGCTGCACCCTTCGGACCTAGAGTAAACCGTTCATGCTTGTTACATTTTCAGTTGTGCTCGCGACTCGACGAAATCGGGACAAAATTTACGCACTGTCAAACTCAAAAGTCGTTCTATTTTCGTGCCAATGTAAATGTAAGAAAATGGCGGCTACCGTCGCTACTTGCAAGCATTAATTTAAAAAAAAGAAAAGAAAAGAACGAATACAAGAAAAAAATAGAAAAATATTGAAAGCGCAATGAACTCACGAGTCAATCACTGTCTGCCAATAACACCCCCGTTTCCCACTGATACATTACACTTATCAGATTGAAGAAAAATATCTACCCACATAGCACCTATTAAAAATCAATCTAAAGGCAACTATATATATATATATATATATATATATATATATATATATATATATATATATATATATATATATATATATATATATATATATATAAAACTGAGAAGAAAAAAACCCTTAGTGAAAACAGCAACAACGGACGATTTAATCTTCGACGTTTCGGCCGGAGTCCGGCCTTCGTCAGGAAGTCTTCCTGACGAAGGCCGGACTCCGCCGAAACGTCGAAGATTAAATCGTCCGTGGTTGCTGTTTTCACTAAGGGATTTTTCTTCTGAGTTATATACCCACGCCTTCGGCCTCCCGCCACCATGCCCGTTATATATATATATATATATATATATATATATATATATATATATATATATATATATATATATTGTTGCCTTTAGATCTATACATTTTTTTTACATTGATATATATATCCTTTTAAGGACACAAGGTAGTATTTGTTTTGGTCTACGCATGTTTAAAAGTAGATTTCACGCTGTGCAAACAATACAAGCATTTCTTTTTTCTAGATTCTTCATTATGACGAGATCTTGTGAATTACAGAGTATGTCAATTACGACTTATGTGTAAAAACGCAAGTTTGCGAGTTAATCAGGCAGGCATCTGTCAAGGTGCGCTGCGCATGAGAATTTTGTACATACCGACCATCTCCCCTTTTGTTTTTCGACAAAAAATCGCCTTTAGTCCGGAAAACACCTACTCCAAGCAAGACACGGGCTATTAAAAACATACAAAAAAAAAATACTCCAAGCGAGACGCAGACATTCGAATGTTCCATACTATTGTCGGACATCAACGCAACAACATACAAGATAAAAAAAAAAAAAAAAAAAAAAGAGATATATTAGAGTTATTTGAAAACTCCACGTCTGTCGCACGACGCCGACACGATAGCGGTACTACACACTTGCACGACGCCCCCGTGCTATGTCAGTCAGCCACCTCCGAGCCAACAAAGGGAAGCTTAATTATCTCCGCCGAGCTCGACGAATGTGCCAGTTCTGCGGCTGCTGACTGATACGGGACAGTGCTCTGCAGGGCGAATTCTTTGTCTTCGACAAGAAGGAGAGACTCCCTACCTGGCAGCTCTGGGTCCTTAGTAATGAGTAGCGGAGCCCACCCGGCTCGAAGAACGGGACCGTCGTTTTGGCTAACAAGCAAGCCACGAACGTCACCTCCGCTCGAGTATGACAGCGGGTCAAGTGGCTGCCGCTTACGGTTTGAGTAGACGTGTCATCGATCACACGACGAATCGATGCGACATTAATGAGCCGTAATGAGCTCACGCTGCCTTGTGGCATCAATGACATGTCCTTGGTGTTTTCACCGTAGTACCAAAGTGATATTCATTCCAAGAGCATCAGTTATCGCAAACATTTGCGCCAGAGAGAAAATGAAAATGCTGGGTTCACCTGCGCCCTCACAGAGTTGCCGAATTTGCTTGCCGTGCCTCTCCCTATTCGCGATTATAGATTTTTTTTTTTCTTTTTTTTTTCCGATACGAGCGGATTGTTTAGAGGAAGCAGGAACGGGTAGTTTCCGCAGGTGTTGTAAAGCGAGCGTTTTCTTTATCACAATGGCCAGTTTATCAGAAGCCAGTGTTTGCTCTCAGGGTGGATACGTTAGCACAACCATATACTGCCACCCTGCAAACATGCGTATTCAGCATTTCTTACATTCTACATCTGAGAGACGAATTCCATTTTCAGGATATGAACTAACGTCCCTGGATGACACGAAGGCGTCAGGAATTTCAACAAAGTCAGTGCTTATAGAAACCCTAATTACTGACTGATAGCAAGGTTCGGCCAAACTGAATATTGCAGTGTCTCCAGAGTCCCGATACATCTGCCCTCCAGTAGTGCAAAGGGACAAGCTACCTACCATTTTTTGGGGGAACTTCTGGTCGAATGGAAGAACAATATAGCCCTGTTCTAAGTTAAGAAACCAAACAAACTCCGTTTCGACCAAACAGCCTTCTTCAGGTACCTGAAGAAGACCGTTTGGTCGAAACGCCGTTTTCCTCCTTGCCTTCTGCACTTTTCCCTTCATATTAGTACTAATACACTAACAGTACCCGGCAGAACCCCACATCTTCAGAACAAACTCCTTTCGCAAAGCCCTCCACCTTTCCTCTTTACCAGAGCAAATGCTAGAGACGAGGCAAGTCCCTCCTTGCCTCCACTCCAGCGTTTGCTCTCCTAAAGGCGAAAGAGTAGAGAGCTTTGCAGAAAAAGCTTGTCCAGGTTTCTTAACCTGCTTCAGATTACAATAATACTAGAGTCCTGAGTAATCGTTTTTCGTAAGTAAGCTTATGCTTCGAACTGGACTGCCGAAACCCATACCCACCCAGAAAATGCATGAATGTGTGAATTACATTTTAAGTGCTATACTGACGAACAAAAAACGTTACTGCCAGGTTAGTAGTGCATCGCTGATACGTCCTACAGTGGTACTATAACGTTACACTCTCGATTCATTAGATTAGAGTCACTGGGTGGAATTTTGCAGAATAACACATTCCATGTGCCTGGTACAGGGTAAAAAATAAATCTTGCAAGCTTATTCTGACATGCGTGCTATCAGTTAAAACAAGGTATGCTACAGCTGCTGACAGGCAAAGAATTTAATAGAAGCTCTTCTCCCAGTACGTGCTCACTGTCTTCCACCAGAGTACCTGCCAAACTCTGAACCTGTGAGTAACCATAGTTTATTCTACCATGCCACACTGTGTAATGTCTTGCCACCTGCAAACGGTGTTTTCCTGTCTGCTCCGTAGACATACCTCTAGCTATTAAAAAAATGAATGAACTGCAATAACATACAAAACGTGGATTCTAACAAGATGATTCCGTCTATGGTGGCTCCACTCATCTCCACCGGACGTCGGTGAGCTGAAGGAGGGAAGGTTTGAGTACTATGCACATCCAAAGATTGTGCACGTTACACGAGAGCTACTAGCCTCTATTAAACTGCCAGGTAATTGTCACGTAAAGATGATGCATGTCCAAGTACTATGGGGTGTACTCAGGGGCGGATGCAGGAATTTCCTGGGGGGGGGGGATCAGGTGTTGGTCAGCGTACCATATGTTTAGGAACACCCTCCTCCTCTCTCTCATTTCAAGTTCTAAATTTTACACATGCAGAAATCAAGAGGGGGGTCAGGACATCCAGACCCCCCCTTTAAATCCACCCCTGGGTGTACTCACGAGTGCTATTTCGTTGGAAACGTGAGATTAAACAGTACTATATGCTACAATCAAGTATGCAGCTGTATGCAGATGATAAGCATTATTGACATTAGCTATGTCTAATCCACACCTTTGCCTGTCAGTCCGATGGCATTTTTGTCATACTGAGTTGTTCTATAATGGTCAACTGCCCCTTATTATGTTGGTCTACAACAATTAACTGACCCTTTGTGTGTTGGTCTACAGTGGTTAGCTATACCTTACTGTTGGTCTACAAAGGTAAGTTGTCCTTTACCATTTGTCTACAAATGTTAGCTGTCTCCTATTGCTGGTCTACAGAGTTAGGTACTGTAGGCTACTGGTGGTCTATGAAGGTTAGCTGTCTTTAACTGTTGGTATACAAAGTGGCTGTCCCTCGTTAGTCCAGAATGGTCAGCTGCCCCTTATTATCGGTCTACAGAGGTTAGCTGTTGATTACTGTTGGTCTACAGAGGTTAGCTGTTGATTACTGTAGGTCTACAGAGGTTAGCTGTACATTACCACTGGTCTATGAAGGTTAGCTGTCCCTTGTTCATCTACTATGGTCAGCTGTCCCTTGCTGTGTTGGTGTAGAAAGATTAGCAGTACCTCACTATAGGTCTACAAAGGTAAGCTGCTCCTTACCATTGGCCTACCAAGGTTAGCTGTCCCTTACTGTTGGTCTACAAAGACTAGGCTTCGCTGAACCTTATTGTTGTTCTACAGTGGTTAGCTGAAAAGAGGTCACATACCTTCGCAAGTCTGGCTCTCTTGATAAGGTCGTTGAGTTTTCTTAGGGCAGCGTTGCGGGGCAGTCCCTGGATGTCGTTGAAGAGGTCCTGCTCCTCGACCTCGAACAACTTCCGGTTCGTGTCGTAGCGCAGCGGCTGGTCCCAGAAGGACCCTATGTAGACGCGGGCCACTTCGGGCGTGTTCAGCACTTTGCCTAGGGACCACATGAGGGCGCCGTAGACGCGCATCAGCTGTTGATGGTCCACCATATCCGCCTTGTTCAGCACGATCCGGATCTTGTCGTCGTGTCCTCGCAGCGCCTCGATGCTCCGTCGGAACTCATCTGAGATGTCGAGCTTGTGGGCGTCGAACAGAAGAATGATCCTGTCCACGCGCTCGGCAAACCACTCCAGGACCCCGGTGAAGTCGTAGCCGCGGTCCACCCGCTGCTTCTCGCCGGAGAGGATGCCCGGCGTATCGATGATGGTCATGCTTTGGAGCACGGGAGAAGCCAGCGTCGAGCACTGGAACCGGTTCAAAAAGGAGTTGCCGAACTTGGCCAGCGGTCGGAACTGCTTCTTGGGGTCCACTACCAGTGCGTTACCCGGGATCACACCTTCCTGGTCGCTGTACATGACCGCGATGAAGCGGTCCGTGGTCGGTTCCGGCCCGATTCGGATGCCCGGGAAGTCGCGCTCCAGGAGGTAGCGAATGAACGTGGTCTTGCCCGTCGAGTACTGACCGACTAGGAGTATCATCGGTTTAGACTCGAAGTCGGGGTCCGCCAGCGGCGGCGAGTGGAAGTCATGGAAGAGGTAGTGTTCCTCCAGAGGGAGGATCTTCGCCTTGTAGATCTGTTTGAGGCCCTCGACCACCGTGTTGTAGATCTCCGGGTGCTTCTTGCGGCTGTCGTCGGTGTTGAGCCAGCTGAACATGGTGAAGCCGTCGGGTTCCGCGATGCCCCTCAGATGACAGTCCCGCCGCGAGCTCGGAGGGGTTTAAAAAAAAATAGGCCCGCAAAACCGGCGCTGCTTAAACTTTCCTGCGGGCGCCGCCGAGTCGGACAGCTTTTCGCGTAGCACAGGCCGCCCCTTCGAAGCAGTCGGCTGGCTCACGTCACTCCTCCCGTTGTTGCGTTGCCCTCCGCTAGGAGACGAGACTTCCGGTTGACGCCACTTCCTTCGCGTCGTGATGATGATAGCGCCTTTACGATCGACGCGCCGCACGCCGAACAAGCGTCAATGGCGTTAACTAACCGAAGCATTTGTTTTTTCTGTATTATGCCGGCGTGTCTGGAGCGACTGGAGTTGCTGTACGTTAAATTTAATTAACCTGGCGCATTCGGTGACTGTTTTGGGCCACACCAACGGCAACTGTTCTTTTTAAGGCAGTGGAAAGCGTCACGCCAATGGTTTCGACCACACCCCGACATCCTGTATTACTTTGAAGAGTAACTAGTCAATATTTTATGATTAAACGGCATTGCTCGCATCGCAAGACATGAACGAATAATGTTAATACATTGGACCGCAGTCAACAACGTGAGATCTGTGGAAACGCAACACAAAAACAAGTCCAAAAGCAGGCAAAGTTGGCGGCACCAGCAGTAGCAGACGATACGTCAGACCCACTGGAAATCCCCCAAATAGAAGACGACACACCTTCGGCCCCAGCGACTTTGCTTTGTTGCATGCCGAATTTCACTGCTCCAACGTCAACAGGGTTACAACCCGAGGATCGCCGACTTCAATGCCTTGTACGCCGCGCTGAGTCACGACGTACAAACACCCCTCGGGACGATGAGGTAAGCTCGGAGAACACACCACCTGCAACCTTCGAACGTTCACCTCAGGTTCGGCCGAGTTTCTCGCGCCCGCGTACGTAAGCGCGGTCTTGGACACGAACAACCTAGTCGTCACGACGTTGCCCCACGTCAGGCCCAGGCTTGGCACGCAGGAAGCCCCAGTCACAGGAAACATCGGATGATCCGAAGAGATCAAATCCGTCACCTGATTCACGCAGAGCACCGCGACTCCGGACCGCCAGATACGATCCAAAACAGTCCCCAGTTTCCGCAGATCGGCGGCCCGTTGTATCCCTTGGTCCTGTTCGTACTCGGAACGAAACAGGGCGGCCACCGAGTCCAAGACAAGGAGACCGACTCGCTTAGTTCGTCGAAGCGATGGAAGCGTAGTTTCCAGACAAGTCATCAGCATGGCGAGCTCTCCGACGTGCGACACCAACACGTTGTCGGACAGCGACCTTCCGGCAGGTCCCAGCTCTCGCTGCATCTGGCGAAGTCTTCGATCTGGAAACCTATCTTCGGTGCAGATGTACACGACGTAAATTGGCATGCCGTCGCCCAACGACCGCTGGGCCATCAGCGATAGCTGCAAGCAGAACTGGGTTTTTCCACTGCCGCTCTCGCCGCTCAGCTCGGTTACACCGCGCGTCGGTAGCCCGCCACCCAGAAACCTATCGAGAATCGGACATCCGAAAGACAGTGTAGATTGACCGCTGTCGAGATCGTATAGCGACGTGAAAGGGCTACATTTCTGACCGCTTGAATCGGTTAACGCAAGCTGGCAGACGATTTTGGTCACCTCGTCTGCTTCGGCATCCGTGAATCCTGTGGCGAGTTGCAGTTCTGGTCGGGTGAGCTTGAAAATCGCTGCAGCGTCCGTCAGCCGAGACACTTCTAGCGCATTGTAGTACTTGTCCAACGCTTTACATTGTTTGAAAGCGTTGTTGCGTGATGTTTGCATAGCAAAAACTTTGCTGGGATAGCAACCAACTCACCAACTCTCAAGCTAAATAACGGCAGACATGGCGCGAAAAGTGGGTGTTGATGTCGATGACGGTTCCATCGTCGCGGTTCGAGTCAGTCATGAAATAGCATGTCGAAATCATTCACGTGATTTATTTGATGAGCAATTTTCAATTAATTACCTCATTAAAAAAAAGTAATAATAATCATCACTAAAACAATCTAATCCAACTCGTCCCAGTTCACCCAAGGGTCCCTAAAACGGTTTATGTTGATCTATGTACAAAACAAAAAGCAGACGATATTTCCTGTTCCTGCACTCGATTGCAAGTGGCTAAGCATAATCCCCTCCAAAATTAGTTTATATCCCGACTTGACCCGGCACAACAAAAACAAAAATTAACTTATGCATGAATGTCAACTTCCATCTTTTCCCCGAACCACAAAAGAAAATATTGTACACTAATGCCACTCAAGAACAAGTTCCACCAGTCTGAATTCTGGAACTTCCAGCGTTCCTTTGAATTTAATCTTTTGTCTTCAGTAGAAATGTAACCACACATAAACTTCCTCCATCACAGTAGAGCGCTTAAAAATAAACACAATAATAATAATAATAAAAAAAAAAAAACCTCAAAGAATTCAAAACCGTAGAACAAACATTGCAAACATCCTTTAGAAAATCATGTTTTCCGAATGCAGCGGACGGCCACCGCAGCAGACGGCTTTTGTAGCAGACGATGCCTGCCTTAGCAGACAACTTTTCAATCTTTCTATGTCCAACAGACAAAACGTTGCCTGCTTTTCACGTGCAAGGATCGAACAAAGAAACAAAGCTGCACACTTCGGTCCCACATTGATTGTGCTTGTCAACGAGATGCAATAAACGGGCGCAAAGCGTCGGCCAGCCAGTGCGCGCCCGTACGAAAGAGAATAACGGCTGCACTCATCTACCACTGTTCCTTCCTTTGGGCATTGTCAACAACTTCCTGCTTTGCGGTCGTTTGTCCGAAGGGCACCCCTTTGTCACAGCCTGAAAGCGTCCTTTCTTGTTTCGTCTTTCACCACTCTGCGTCACCCACGGCTTTCTGGAATACGTAGTCCTTCCCTTGTAGGTTCATGATGCCATCCTTGAAGTGAAACTTCCAACGGTTGCGACTCCGTGAGATCTAGGAAAGAAAACAAGGGTGCAATTGACATGTCACAGATTGCTCTTAATTATCCCAAATGCTAGGTGCCGTGTTTAACAGACTACTGTCCACGCTCGGTGTACAGTCTGCAGACGGTGCATAGTTTTCACCCAGCATGGACTTTTCACCGTGTGCCAAAAAGCCTCATAAACAGCACACCTTAAAACATGCGTGCTTTAATAATGAACAAAGAAGCTTGCATCGTAGAGATATCACCATTAACTCAATCTGTCCTTTACAAGTTCCCCCCTCATCATAACTAGTAAATTAGGAGAAAGAAAAAAAAAACCTCGTATAGTTTGCACAACATAAAAATTTAAACTTTTAAGCCTGTATAGCTTGCAGACTATGGTCCGGCAAATAAAATGGCTCGAGAAACGGGCCTCTTGGCAGTGGCCAATACGATACCTGTCTTATTTCTGTGCGATGCATAGTTCCCACAGAAAATGTTTTGGCCGATGTTCGGAGGAAAACCCGGTACAATACCAGATGCAAAACGTCTCACGAATGCAGCGCACAAACTTCGACAAAGCCAATCCAAGCCGGCTAAGCAGACAAGATGGAGACAAGGTCCTCACCTTGTCGTACTGGCATACGACCACATTGTCGATCTCGAAATTCTCCGTGGCCTCCTCGTCGGAAACGTCGTCGTCCGAATTGAGGGGTTCCTGGAACAAAGGAAAAGGCGACGCCTGAGTACGAAACTATCGAGTTTAGTAAACAGTGATTGGACGATACCCAGGGTTAGGTCATCCCAATCCGATCCAATCCAATCCAAGCACGGATCGGAGCATCTTGACAATATTTTTTGCAGCCTGCCACTGCTGTTGATAATTTCCATATCATACGGTAGAGGCTTGTTAAGAATAACTTAGCAAGAATTTTCACATGAATAAAACAGATAAAATCCATTTAGTAGCTAGCATTAAAGGGATACAGTAATGGAAAATGGAAATATACCTCTCACATTCAGGAACAAGCTAGACGTGATCAACAATATCCGCTAAAGACTATCGCACGCTTGTATTTGGAACGGATGGCTATACTTTTCGTTCCAAATGGTTGATTCTGGAAAGCGTTCGAAGAGTAGCCATTGGAGAGTGTGATGAGTCTCGGGAAATCGGATGCCTCCAGTGCGTTAGTGGCATCACGTTTCCCTTCCCAGGCAAGGCTACAGCTAGGCCGGCATAGTTACGAGCTTCGCCACTTGGCGGCATCGACGCTTCACAACTTAGCCGTTTGAGATGCCCGAGGACCAATTGGACGATGAGCGGAGGCGAAGTGAGTCACTTGCGCCCCAAACCTACGCCGACCTCCTCCTCCTCCTTGGTCTCACCCCCCCCTCACCCCCCCCCCCCCCCCCCCCCCTCCGCCTTCCCCTTCTTTTCTATTACTCAGCCGCGGGAGCTGAATAGGCGCACGAAAGAAGGAATTTTGGTGTGGCCAAGTTTTTTACAGCCTTCGCGCACTCGCACCTCGGCGCCATTTCCGTAGAATGGCGCCGCTTTTTGGGGAAGGTCGACGTGACGGCATTTTAAGTAGATTTGGGAACACGCACCAGGTGGAACTTGTTAATCGTTTCATTTTCTTTAAGTGAAGCTTTAGTGTCTTTTTGAACAAAAAATTGGTGTCTGTGGTGTTGCCACAAAATAGTTGACGTTTAGATACCAGAATGGCTGCTAATTTCGTTTCGGTATCCCTTTAAGGAAAATTCGCCCATTTTTAATGGGGTTATGGGAAGAGTTGATTCCCTGATGAATGTATCCAATTCAGAGGGTCGGGTACAAGTTCTCAAGCTCAGACTTGAAACCAACTATTATGACAACCCTGCATGTTGCCAGAGAGGCACATATGTAATCTACACTTATGCCTGTAGAAAACAGACGACACAGTCTTCGAAAGCATGAAGCTACAAAGCACTGCTGCATGTTCCTTACTTTTCATTTGTGATAAAGATGCATCGACTGGTACTATAGCATATTACCCCAAACTCATATTGGGTGAGCAATTGTGCGAAAGAAAGCAAAAAAACAATGGAAAAGTGTACAGCGTGGCCGAAATGAATTGAACACACTTTAGACTGACCGCGCGTGAACAGGTTTCTCAACTTGTTGCACTGGGATTTACCACAGGGGTGCTCAAATCTGGTGCATTCATTAATTGAGAGTATGAATACATGAAACCTCCAGAGTCAAAAGAAGAAAATAAAAACTGGTTTTGTCTATGAAAAAATTATTGCCAAGCCTTTTATCTCAAAATCATCAGAAAATCGTTTTGGACTATTCTGGCATTTACTGCGATTGAAAACTTTGTGAAATGGAAAGAAAATAAAATTAGTTTACCTATTCTTCACTTCATCTGGCCCAAATGAGCACCACAGTAACATATTTTTTTTACTGTACATGCAAAGTATAGAAAAAAAAAGTTTTTGATTTTTCTTAATTGACTCAGGTGAGCCAATCTTTCCACAGTTTTTGTGAAAGCTTCCATCAACTTCAAGCATTAGAGTGCACAGAAAGTGCAGATGGCACCAGACAATGCACAGCAATATCAGATGAATTGGACGACATGCACAGTGAGTGCACAAAAAGCAGACAGCATCAGACAACTAGCACAGGGAAAGCTAAAGGAATCAGTTGTCGTGCAGAGGTATGTGTGAAGAGAGCACAAAATAGCTGATGGCATTAGATGAAATGCAAAGATAACGGAGTGCACGGGGAAAGCAAACGACATCCAATGATATGTAGCAATAACTAAAGAATCAGACAACACGCGGGAGCAAAGCAGATGGCACGCAGGGGCACACCAAAGGGAGACGGCATCAGATGACACGCACAGGGAAAGCTAACGGCATCCAATGATACGCAAAAATAACTAATGAATCGGACAAACACGGGGGAAGAGCAGACGGCACGCAGGAGCACACAAAAGGCAGACGGTGTCAGACGACATGCACAGGCAAAGCACAGGGAAAGCACATGGCATCGGATGACACCCAGGAAGAACGGAAAGAGTGCAGACAAGCAGAGAACCCTAAAGCATTGGACAGAGATGACACAAAGGCCCGGCCACGTACCACCTCCTCGTCGCCCTCATCCTCGTTGTCCTCGTCTGCTTGGTCGTCATCATTGTCCTCCTTGTCCTCCTCGTTGTCCTGGAACTCGTCCTCCTCCTCCTCCTCGTCGCTCGTGTCGTTGGCCCCGTCCAGCTGGATCACCTGGTTGGGCTGGGGGCAAAGGAGAACACCGAGAAGTGGTTCACGCACCCCAACCATCATACTGTAGACCGGTGGTTCTCAACTACCGATTCCTTCTGGATCGGCAAAAGTGATGGGGGACCCCATCCGGCAGAAGGGAAGAGAGGGTATTGGACGATTACAACGACAAAGGAGTAAACAAAGAAAACCAAATGCGTGCAAACCAACTTTGAAACGGAAAGACCGACTCGCTCGACACACGCGGTTGGGTCTATTTAGCTTGGTGGGACAACCGCCGTCGATAAAAAGAAGACAGATTTATTGCTCCGCTCTACTAATGGTCGAGGGCTTCGAAGACACCAAAAAGGCATTCGGGGACCCCAAAGGGTCCGCGGACGTCCCCCATTTGAGAACCACTGCTACAGACGTTCGGCTCATTCTCCCCTCATACCAGGCAGAACCAACTACCTCCGGACGCTTGGCCATTGTTACAGCACTGTGGACTAGGCGCTAATGCTGCTTTGGTCAGTGTAATGGCTCGGCACGCTCTGTATCAAGGCTGCTTGGCCAGTGTGATGACACCATAAACCAGTGCGATGGTATTTAAAGTCGGTGCGATGACACAGATAGCAGAGTGTCAACACTGCTTTGGCCAGATTGACAGCAGAGAGAGCCCAGTGTCAATGCTGCTTTGGCCTGCGTGAGTGAGCTCAGCGTCAACGCTACTTTGGCCAGTGCGATAGCACAGTAGGATTTGTATCAATGCTGTTTTTGGCCGGTGTGATGGCATATCAGGTTCACTGTGATGGCACAACAAACGCTGCATAGTCGGTAAAAAACAAGCGGCAGGAAAGTGACAGGCGTGTTGAACTGCCATTTTTTAGCCGTTGACTTCAGTCCCGCAGTTCCAAAACGAAGCTTGGGCGTTTCGGTGCCCTGGGGACGTTCATTAGCTCTAAGCCAAAACTACAGTATGACAGTACCCGACAAAATAGATCAATAAAAAAATTGACCGACTCAGACATCTTAGTAAATGCAATAAAGGTATGAAAGCAATAATGCGCAGTTCCTACGTTGCAGCCGGGTAAGGAAAGCTAAGCGGTGCACCAATGTTTCCCTCTTGCGCGCCCCTTTCCCACCGTTGGTCACACCATTGGTTGCGTGCACTACGACGCCTGACCAACAGCTGTGCCTGTGCTCCATCACTGAAACTCTCTACCATAGCGCTTCTTGCAGCACAACCGTCAACTCTAACGGGAGCATTCAAGGTCTGCGAAGGGCTCCCTCGTAAGGCTATCACCCTAAAAACATGGGAAATCTCCCCAAAATTGAGAATATCGCAGTACCGCCATTTCAGGTGCTGCGGCGACTCTGGCAACATAATTCCGGGAAAGAACACCGGAACGGAGAAGACGAAAGGTTTCGCCACACTGCATCTTCCACGAGAACAACCCTATCCAAAGAGTGCGGCAAAGTGAAAAGAAAAAAAAAAAGAAAAACCGCGCACGCTTGGCAGAAGTGCTGAAAGGCCGGAGCTCACTCGTTTAGCCCGTGCTCGGAGTAGAGCACTGCCGCTCACCTGGCTCGTGGTGGTGGAGGGTGGCGGTGCCAGCACGGTGGTGACGGTGCTGGGCGAGGCCGTGGTGGTCACCACCGGCTGGCCGCCCGTGGTCACCACCGTGTACTGGTGCTGCTGCTGGTCTCCCATTGGTTTCATCACCTGGTGGAACTGGAGGCCCCCCACTGCACCCGCATTGCCCATGCCGCCGGCCGCCGCTGCACACCGACGACAGAGGCTGCAGCTTCAACTATCTGTTTGTTATACAAGTGCCAGCAATGCGGAGCGCTAGTCTCTCCACTTCTCGAGTGTCGGTTGCAGTGACATCGAAATGCCGAGCTCCGATTGGCTCCGTTTGGAAGGATAGTGGGTACACCTCAATGCTAGCTGCCTCGAGGTCTACGCACCAGCCTTCCAATCCCACCTAATCGGAGCTCAACATTCTGACGTCATAGGAACCTCCGAGCAAGAAGCAGACCAACTTGCGCTCCGTATAGATTCGAATGCTTGAGCAGGATGACGAAGAGAAGGCCAAAAATGACGAGCAAGAACGATGCAAAGTGAAGGACAACGTTCAATCCAGCGCTCTCAGAGCGAAATAAGGGCACAGCTTGCCCTCTGACAAAAGCGCGATCCCGAGTATGGCGCATAGAATGCACCTCCGGCCGACGTGTCTCGCGCAGTGCCAAAAGTGGCACCTCGATTTCTGCTTGACAACGATGTCCAACGTCGTTGCCGGCCGCGGTCCTAGCAGTGTTACAGCAGTGGTGGTGGATGGGGCAGACGCCTGTTCTGCAGGCCGCTCTGCAGCTTGACGGTCCACAGAAGCTTCGGCAGACGGGAGTTGGGACGCCGCAACGACGGCGGCACTTGCGTTCCCTCATGCTTTCTTTTAGAGCGCAGCTGTTAGGGGCTCGTTTCCGGCTTGAGCGGCGTCGGCGTCGGCGTAACCGCGAGGTCACGTGACCCCCCCTAGGTCACGTGACGCCCCTAGGTCACATGACCCATTAAGTCACGTGACCCCGAGGTCACGTGACCCCCTGAAGTCACGTGACTTCTGGGGGTCACGTGACCCCTTCAGGTCACGTGACCCCCGACGTCACGTGAGCCACTGAGGTCACGTGACCTCCTGAAATCACGTGACCCCCTCGAGGTCACGTGACCTCAAGGAGTCGCCTATCCCTCAGTACGCTTCCATCTTCCTCCTCAAGAGCTGCGCTCTAACCGGCGTTACAGGGAATTGTAAACGGCTTTTTAGAAGCCTTACATCCGACCGCCAAAACTACGACAACTGGCAGCCTGACGCTCCGGCTTTTTGCAACGTTGCTTGTTCACCCTTCGGGACCGCTTTTGACGCATGAGCTGGATGAGACGCTAAACACGCCGGTCTGAGATACGTTCGAGACACCGTGGCGACGGCGACTTACCCCTCTGAGCGGCCTGGATGGCTCCGGCCTGGGTCATGCTCAGCATTCCACCCTGAAGCAGACTGGCTGCCACGTCCGGGTGGAGGGCCAGTGCCGCGGCCTGGGCAGGGGTTGACTGGGGGAGGGACACGTGTCGATCGTCAAGCAACTGCCACCACGAGTGCGTCGCGAGTTTGCGACGGACGATTCTTTCGACAGTCAAATGGGGAGGTTTTGTGTGCCGAATTAATGGAGGGCGTCTGACACGCCCCAGCGAAGGACCTAAGGTTAACTTCGTCCGTTTGGGGCCCAGCTTTGGTCACTGTGAGAGCGGGATCGAACTTAGCTCATGCAGAGCAAGCCAAGATGGCGTTCGTAGACGGTTCGTCTGCCGTGATGCGTCGATTGCAGACGGAAATGAAACGGACGGGACAACGCCATACATCATCTGCTAACAGACCGAAAAAAAAAGTTGACTGTCAGCCACTAACCGAGCACGGCGGCGAGGTTAGACCGGACGTGGGCTGAGATTGTAATCGTCCGCTATTTTACGTTAGAAGCCATTGACAATCCGCACTTCTAAAAATCTCCAAGTTGTTCAGCTGCAATGCAAAAGCTGACGTTGATCAGTGGATGAAGGAACGTTAAGGGCAAACGCATCAAAGGCTCCAAGACCTCTCTCGCCATTTGTGTGTTGGAGAGACGTTCTCACCAAAATGTCGCCCAACCGTAACCTTGTGAATGGGTAAAAAACAATTTCTTATTGGTTGGCTATGCGCACCCAATAGGAAAATGTGGTGCCACGTCCAATCAGCAGTCGAGAACGCTCTCGCTCTCACGATGACTAAAATAAGACATTTAGGGATCTTTTGATGTGCAACCAAAATCTCGATTACACGCTCCGTCAAAGTGCGGGCACACGGGTCGGTATCCAAACCCAGGACCTGGGAGACGAGGCGGTACTCAAACCGCATCAGAGCCGCCAAGGTGGCCGAGTCTCTCGACAAAGAAACCGTGATTTTGTCGACCTTGGCTGGAGGACAAGAACCTTTCGACTTTGGGTAAAGTCACTATAAAATGAATCTTTTTCCCAATTATGTCAAAGAATAGGAATGAAGTTGAATTCCCCCTTCTTTCCTTTTGTTAATAAATCGGACTCAAAAGTCGAATTGAATTTCTTTTTTTAGTTAGACTTTAGAATTGGAAACATAAAATGTTCCATTAAATTAAGCTGACCTTATGCAGTATCAGTTGATAGCCCTTGTGCAGGGGCCCTAATATATGCAAGAAGACCAAGCAAGACCCAGATATTGCTGCCTGCTGCGATTGACCAAGCCCGCACCGCCGACCAATCGCAGCAGGAGACAATGTCTTGGTTCCTTGGTCCTGCCATGTAGATTAGGGCCCCAGAATGCCAAAAGGATGGTGTGAGTCACTTTTGTCTCACCTCAGACACAAAAGGTTCCAACATTAGTTTAATTTAGTTTGAAAAACAGGTAGCCAACCCCACGTCTAAAGATAGAAATGTTGCGAGCTTTGTTTCTTTGTGAAGCAATACAGAACACTTAAAAACAGCCGTTTTTTTGCTGGGACGATGCTATCACACATACCATATTTTCTCGCATATAACGCGCATCAAGATTTATATGGAACCAAAGGTGAAGTAGGGGTGCAAGCCATTCGCAAATTTCGGCTGGCAGTGCGGCTTCACAGCAATCCGCATGAAGTCGTAAAGATAGGCTCCGCAGAGTTTTTTTTTCTCCAGCCTCTCCTAGGGACTTTTCTCCTTTGTCAAATGATTTACCTGATCCAGGCAAACCATCTGACCCATCTAAGCGCCATTTCTAGCAGATCTAGGCCATTCATTGATGCATGAGTACGCACCAAACACTTTCTACAAGACGTTCTCGAGCGCAGGACAACCCTAAAAAAAAAAACTTTATAAAAAGAAAACAATGAACAGAGTGCACTGAAGCTTTTCACAAATGTGTCTTTAGGTGGTGCACTGGTTACACAAAACTTTAGCGGGCGTAGGTTTAAAAAAACAAAAACAACTTAACCTGATTTCACGCTTTTGCTTCATGATGTGCCAACTGTGGGCAGCAGCATCAATCAGAAGGTATTTTGTCATTTTCCTCCCTGTACGTAGGAAAGAACAGGTTTATTTATGCTCAATCCTGTTTTCCCCAAACTTACACTGTAAGTTTGGATACAATAAATGTGTCACCTAAAGGCACTTTGCAAAACTTGTTTATAAAAAATATTTTAACGCCCAAACAGCGCTCGAGAACCCCCTGTAGTATGCGCGTCATCGTTTACGAGGTCTGTAACCGTCTGCGCCGCTTCATTTCATCAATGCCGAAACAGGCAGGGGTTGCTTGGCCATTGGTCGGTGGGTGTTCCTTGAGATTAGAACGTCCGGGGACTCCAGGGTTAGACGATTTATGCGCTCAAATGAGCAAAGGCCGCCTCTCCGGTCACACCACCGTTACAAGACAACATGCAGAAACTCCTTCGGACAAAGCGGCTGAAACGCACCCGTCGCGCCAGTTCCGTTTACGGCGACGATGCGGGAATTCCCGTGGGCACGATGTGAGATATGTATAGGCGTGGACAGCGTGTGCGTCATGGCTGCCGGATGAAGTCCTCTCCTCGCCATGGTTGCAAAACGGTAACACCAGATGGTTCCTCGATATGCGGCTAATGGCAGCCTGTCGCAGTCCCAGTTTCTTGTGCTTTTCTACGGGAGACTTGCTTCTTTTTGAAGGGGCCATGTAGCGATATTAGCTTGGAATGTTTTTCACTTTCACTTTACACGAGTTTATTGGCACTAGTGGGACCCAAGTACACTCGCACGCAATGCCACTGACCAAGAAACTCCTTTGTTACGATGTCATTTCAAGGACAAAAGCAAGCGTTTTTTTTCAATCTCTCCTTCGCAATACTTGACGACATAGCTGGGGGATTGCAGTATCCCCCAGTGACGATATTTGACTGCGGCTCATAGATTGAGCCCGAGCATTGTGTGAGCACTTAATTTGGGCTCGTGATAATCAATACCTCGACAAGCATTCGGGTAGCGGCCCGTGTCCAATCGCTGCAATGACGACAATAGCCGAACCATAATGTCTGAAACTGAGCGCATTTCATGTGCTTTGCCGACCCCGGCGCATGACGATGACTAACATTGGCGGCATATAATCGGCTCAAGATCACGTGTCCACTTGTTCTGGCTGCGAGTTGAGGAGGTGAACGCCGCTCGGTTTCCTTTAACTTTTTACTGCGACTTCTACTGCGTGTGGTGAAAAATAAATGCATGTTTCGTAGGTCATTAACATCAGGGAATCGTTCTAAGCGATATTTGCGCAAAGTGCAAAAATTGTTGAACTGCCCCTTTAAAGTTGTATTCCAGGTGTGCCATGACACATGTCCTTTAGACGCAGCTTCGTCGCCGACCTTTTAGTATTGTGCCTTGGCGGCGACGACAGTTTTAAGATAGCATCGAAGCGGAGACATCTCAGGTGCGATGTTTAAGCCAGCGTCAGTCAAGGTAAAAGCAGACGCCCCGGATGGAGAGAGCGCGCTCGGGAACACAACACTCTTTCTGGTTTTGTTTCTTTTTTTTCTCGGTTGAGCCAGCAGAGACGCCGTTGGCCAAGGCTACTCGGGTGCATGCCAAGGACTTTATCTTGTCGATTGCCTAGCGGTGTTCACCGCAGTGTTTGCCGCGCTGTGTCCTTGCCTATACATATCTTACGCCATGCCCATGCGTCATGCGACACACCTCACCCCATGCTCAACAATGCCCCCGCCGTGCGGAGCAATTGCAGATGCCCGACGAGCGGTGGGGCGTTCTCCACGACCTGGCAGGCATTAACCCTCTACTCCTCCTTCCACCCTCCACGCCACCGCTTGACAAAAGCACAAAAAGCGGAGGAAAGACTCACGTGACGAACTTGGTGCGGGTACTATGGGGTGAAATGGACACAAGAGTACACGTCAATCCTACGGGTCAAGAGTGCTATTCATGCCAAACTCCAGTCACCCCCAAAGGGATGTCCAAACAAGACACAACAAATACCGTGAACAAAAAAATGTGAGCTTCTCGTAGAGCATGAAAGGTCCAAAGAGTGCACATGTGTTTTCAGTAATGACACCAACCACACAAACAGCATGACTTTCCCCCTCACCTCCTGGCTGTCGTCTCCCCCTTTTCTTATTAACGCGGAAGCAGTAACTGTCTTATAGAGCAAAGCTGGCGTTGTCTGTAACCGTCTGATTGCAGCAAAATGGCAGTTGAGTTCCCATTGGCCGGCGAAACGGCAGTTAAATTTTCATTGGCCAAAAACACAGCAACGCAGGTGCATCGTCACGGAAGCCGGGGAGCGTGATGTCACCAGGTGCAGTGGAGTGTGAAAAAGGAAGACGTGGTGCGCTGCTTGTAGGAATGCTTTTGCATTCCTACATGCAGCGGATTCCTACACGTAAACAATCTTAAGTGTCCTCTTTAGTCTTTTTTCGGGAGATTGGGTACAGACAACAGCGGAGGCTTTGACGACAATCTGCAGAGCATATGAGCGGCTGTCTGGACCCATGTGACGAGCACGCTCCAAGCTTCTGTCCAAAGATGGAAGCAGAAAAAAGTTTCCCCTCCCCCCCCCCCCCCCCCCCCAAAAAAAAAAAAAAGATATCCCAAAACAGTTTGGAATTGGCGGGAAATCTCCACTTCCGGCAGAGCAAATGCCGTGCACGGAATCTGGTGTATCTTGTTTGGACAGCTGTTAAGCGGACACTATGCGGGGGCTATGCGCCTGCCAGACCAATCAGCTGCCTCCCATCATCAGCTGACCCCGTTCTCTGCACGTGGGTAATGTTAAGATCATGATTGCCTGGCAAAAGATGGACGTATGGCTGGTCCGACGAGCACGTAGCTTTCACAGCGCTCTCAGCTTAGGGCCGAACGGAGCATAGGCTCGCACGATCCGGCTGCACAATTCCCGCTTTCCCCGTTTAACAAGCTTGGGTGCACAAGAAACGATAAAACGACGATGCAATCAGACGGGTCCTAAGGATACACCTGAAGCTATGGCAATCTTTGCTGCATTCTCAAAGAGAAGAAACATGGTGCAAACTTCTTTCAATGCAGGTAACTGGCTGGCACAACTTTTTTTCACCTCTACAGCACTTAAAAGTTTAACTTGGGAGAGCACCTAGATACGCTAAAAATATGCCAATTTACAGAAAGAGGAACGGAGTCCTTAAAAACCAGTGTTTGAACACCCAATATTTAATTTACGTATAGCCTTCAGGTTTGTAGGTTTGGTAAAATTGCAGGGACATTCACGCTGAACAAAAGCCTGTAATGATATTTGAGTGTGATCATGTCGTCCACCGACTTACGTTACGTCTTAGAAGAGTCTCTCCCAGGTGCTTCGCGTCGCTGCCGAAAGCGAGTTCCAAAGTGTGAATTCGCAAAGCACTATCAAGGGCAAACTCTCGAACCGGTTAAATGGCCGCTCTCTGGGTTAGCGATTCTGACCCAGTCATACTGTGGTTCCCCGACGGCATGGAGATTGTCGGTACTGTTGGCTGCCTTGCCCCATATCTGAGTGCTTCCCAGCCAAGCGAGGAAGCGTACCGGTGTTGGCTAGTCATAAATGCAACGTCTACCAAACCTATACAGTAATGGCTTCGTTAATATGAACCCCCATAAACATACCCTGCTACATAGACAAGCGTTCTGGGGAAAAACTCTGCAAATACACATACATTTGCCTCAATTTTACGGACGACTCGCGTTACAGACAATTCTCGGGGGGTGCAGGTGTCCATATCAACGAGACCCGACTGTAATCGTAGTGATGCGACTTTCTCACCATGACGGTCTGCATTCCGTGTTGCGTCTGCGCTGGTAATGTGATGGTGAACTTCTAGACAAAAGAGAAAAGGGAAAACAAAACCACTAAAATCAATGTCCTCCCACAAACAATGGGTTGGAATACCGACACACACTGCCACACCACTTCCCCGTTACCGAACTCAAACGTTTTTGTGGCTTGTTGTTACGCGAGCTCTGTTTATTCTGGGAAGGCTTATGTCAGATTGGCAGCTGCGTCAACGAGAGCACGCTCTATCATTCAGATCGTCACCTGCAAGAAACCTGGCCGAGCACTGTGACGGTTGCAAACCTACTTGAGAAGATGCGTCCATTCTAGGACGTCGCGGCCTTCCGATCACTCCCGTAAAATACCGACCCCGTGCACCCCCCCCTCGTGTAGGCGCCCCGGCTCCCATTTGATGAAACTTTAATATTTTTGTGGCCGTCATCTCGGATGTTATTCCTGAACCGAGTAAGGGTCCCCCTTCCTATTTTGATTGAATAATCTCTAAATTTAGAGGGGGTGCTTGTTCGGTAGTTTACAATAAAGAAATTTTAGAGGCTTTCTTCCATTCCATGCACAAAGATGGATGAGTTAGTGTCTGTAATGGATGGCTCAGTTTCACATTGGTGCGTTTCTTCAAAATAAACCGTTGAAAGTTGGCGCTCTGTCTGTGTACACCGTCTTCATGTCCTTCGTTGTCTATTTTGGCGTCGTTAACTCTTTGTAAACATATATTATTTAAACTTTAAAAAGAGCTCTAATAAATGTTTTGCTACTCTTCGTTGCAACATTTCTATAACATTTTTGTTACTCATTCTAAACAGAGCTGCACTTAACTCTTCACTGCCCCTATCTGTAGCGTGTGACCTTACTTACAGTAGGTTAATTTGGAAGGGCAGTTTGCCATAAGAAGTAAGCCAAAGTTGTCAATGCTTCGCTTCGGACCGTTGTTATCAAACAAGCGTGTGAAAACTCTGACCTTTGTGCCTTGAGGACAAATACATAAATAAACAAATAAAGCCAAATCCCAAGATTACAACCACGACATTGCCATAAGAAACTGGGAGGCGTGCAGACATCAATGTGCACACCCGACTCCTCAAGTTGAATGCTGTCACAAATAAGGCACTTCATCAAGATCTACAGATACTGCCTTTATGCGCTATCCATCTATCTTTCTAAGCTTACACCACCTGCGAGAGTGGTGCCATAACCAGCTCGTGAGCTGAAGTGCTGAAATGGTACAAGAGACGCAGACACTTCTGGCATGCCCACAAACTACCCTTCAAGACTAGCTGGAATTTCGGGTCATTTGACCTGTCGAAGTGTACAAGCCAGTGCACAATGCATTACGGAGTGGCACGCAAGTCTCCATCCATAGGGTAATGATGATTGTCCCTTTTCTTTTTTTTTTTTTTTTGTTTAAGTAAGGTAAGAAAATGGCTTTAAGTAAAGGACACCTGCTCATGGACACATGTTGCGACCGGCAGGCACAGTGACCAAGCGTATGGCGGGTAATGGCGTGCATATGAAATACAGGTTCTATAGTTTCTAGCATCAACTCCTGTGGTCTCTTTACAATTGGAGGCTTTTGCCAAACCTTACAATTGTACTGGTATAGTGACATTCTTTTCCACTGAAACTTGTCTAACAGGTACCACACTCGGCCCCTCGTCAACCAGATAGAGCACCGCAGCCTGAAACAAAGGCCCCGAAAACAAACTACATCAAGCAACAACCCGAGGGCATGCCTTCCACAAAATAAACTCTAGGCTGCAATTAAACAGACGCCTAAAGCTGGCAACCCGTGCAACCGCGAGCCCAGAAAAGGGGAGCCTTACCCCTCCGGCAGTCGTCGTGGAGTGATACTGCAGAACAGTGGGCTGGACAATGCCGTTGGGCCCAATCGTCAGTTGATGTGCAATGGCTGGGAGAAGAGAACAACACACTTCTAAATCCTGGGCATAATATTAAACAAAAATCCCTCTTCTCTGAGCCCAAAGGCAGACCACGGAACGTGAAAAGTTAGATAAATAATGCAAGAGGGAAAGCAGATTATTTTTAGGTGCTTTTCTTGCCACACAATCTGTTTGTGTCTTACCCGATCGTCGGCTTTTCGCTTTCAAAGCCCGTAGCGACAAAGTTAAGCCTCAGTATGCTAAAATGCTAAAGAGTGGAGAAAGCACATAATGGGTCTGCAATTCTTTTCTTTTTTGCCCCGATGTTTTGTACACGTTAAAAGAAGCGGGAGAAGCGGCTGCCAATCGGTTTGAGAAAGTGGCTGTATCCTTACCAATAGTCAACTTCACAGTGTAAATTATGCGGGCGAACACACCGTGAATTACCGTAAAATCCCGTCAGGGCGCCCACCCAAAATGAAGAGGGAAATGGTGAAAACCTGAGGTGGGCTATCTTATTAAAAAGGAATTATAAACACTCGGACACCTGCTACAAACGACGTGACACGGGAAGTGATACCGCAGATTGCGCACACGGCAAATTCGCGTTTCACAATGCGATGAACATGCGGGAATTCGCTACAAACTCCTGTATCACGGGTACCGCAGACTGCAAATGCAACAGATTCGTGTTTCACAGTGCAATGAACACGCGGGGATCAGCTACAAACAGGCATGCCACGAGAACCGATATCGCATGTGCAGATCGCGAACAAAAAAAGCGGGAGCTCGCATGTCATGGGAACCGATATTGCGTGCGCAGATCAGACAACAACGCAAGTTACCCGCTGTGAACTCACTTATTACACATGTTGGTGCCACGGATTGCACGGTTAATGTGGTTTCCGTCGGACATCGCATGATGTCCGACGGGGAGTGGGCGATGTTTTGGAATTTTTATGCTACGGATATTTAACCAGAAAAACGGGACGGGCAATCTTTCGGGGGAGGGTGCCCTTACGGAATTCTACAGTATGCATATACAAGTAAGCATACAAGTAAATTATGTATAGACAAGTAGGCATATCATAAATTATGCTTACACAAATAAGCATACCAAAAATTATGCATACTACAAGTAAGCTACACTTTGTTTCACCCTCAATCAAAGGAGTGAAAGGTAGACAACACACAAACAAACAGGCTAAAAGTGCCAAGTCAAGGTGATAGCATACACAGAGCTGGTCATAGCATACACAGAGAAATGACACCAAAACAGTAACGTTGCACTTTGGCCCTACCAACTCGTAGAATCGGCTGTGATTTGACTTAATGTACACTAGTAGCACTCCCCAGCGATTATAGGGGTTGGCCTGGCTCATCAGTCAGAGTGCTGTTCTTTGCTCGTTTGCCATCTTAAAACGGCCATGGATCTTGGTTGTCCCAAGCACCTAGTAAGCCTAACAGTTGCAAAGGGTTGACAACCTTGTGCTGCAGCAAGTTGATTCCCGGCGTTGACCTGCTGCTGCTGTTGCTGTTGCTGATGTTGATGCTGCTGCTGTTGCTGCTGATGTTGCGTCTGATGCTGCAGCATGGTGGTTGCGGCGGCGTGGTGCGTCACCGACTGCGCCGTGGCCCGGGCATTGTGCTGCACCGCAGCTATGGGCAGCGGGTGCTCGGGCGGGTCGATGGCCTTTGACTCAACAAGCTTCTTCTCCCAAATCTACGGGGTACAAGAAAAACTCATCGCCATGCGGCGGACTACAAAGACCGTCGAACGCATGTCATAACCCGACATTTTTCTCAAAACAGCGTTTTAGTGGTCAGAAGTATGTAAGAGAGATTTGGTACCACTACTGAAAAACTGCAAGAGGTCACAAATTGACCAATCTCTGCAAGCGTTCGGCGCATGCACGCCGCCGCCTAAACTTTAGTTCGCGGGAGACAGGCCGCAGTGCACGAGGCAGCTCGTGCCCTTTTGTGCTCCTCATGTATAAAAGCTGCGGCGAAAAGTCAAGTTTAAGGGTTTTGAGTGCCAAACCGACGAAGGGCATCTCACATGCACCAGCAGAGGACCGAGAATTTATTTCGACCACCTCTCGACGTGCAATCGAAATCGCTAATAGCTTCTACGCAACAAGCTTTCGTCGGATTGTCGGCACAGCGGCTGGGATTCAAACTCGCCACCTGGGTATCTGTAGGCCGGAGCTTTGCCTCCGAGCTAGCCAAGCTGCAGCGAGCGGCGAGGTTGTACCATGTGCAGAAAGACTGAACTTCTCTCAGTGCATTGTGGCAGCGGTCGCACATCGAAACTGGCTAGTAAGAAGTGTCTATGGAAAGGGCAAGTCGTCTGCTTCTTGCACAGGAGTTGCGGTGACATCAGAATGATGCCAAGCTCCGACTGGCTTTGATCGAAAGCATAGTGGGTAGACCTTAATGCTAGATGCCTTGACGTCTACCCACTAATTTGTTTTTCAGTCAGCCAATAAGAGCTCTGCATTTTGACATCATCGCAACCCCTGCGCAAGAAGGAGACAAACTTGCGCTCCGCATTAAAGTCATGCCTAGTCTCTTGTACGAAAGAACTGTTTGACTGTGTTACAAAAAGCTGTGGGAAGGATAAATGTGGATGCATGTCTCGTAGGTTGCGACGACGGTGGAAGGCACCAAGGCTTCTATAGTCGTTGACGGCTTAATAAACGAAGGGCGTGGCAACCCAGAGCATCTAATCATTGCTCCACAACCTACGAGATTGTAGCATTTGCCGATTACAACTTCGGAGGATGGACCAGGAAGCAAGAAGCGTAAGCAAATTAAGCCATGCCCAATTTTTTTTTTTTTTAACTGGAAGTAACTATGGCTCTATCCTTGAAATGTCGGTGTTGTTTACCTGTCGCAACTCCTGCAGAGCCTGGTCGTCGACACCTTCATCCAGAAAGATGTCCTTGACCCCGTTGATGACATCTTCTATGACGCTGCGGTACAACTTTGGCTGCGGCAGAAGAAAGAACTCTTAACTGCCACGACTCCGGTGTTTGTTACAGAACGGCAACCCAAAAGCACCAGCGCCACAACAATCCCATTTAAATCCTTCGTCCCCTCCGCTTCACCTCGATAGCAGACAACCAGTCGCTGTTCTGCTGCGATGGAACAGTTTACTGCAGTTGGCAGACCTGCTACTAAATTACCCCAGCAGCTAAGAGCATGCTGCGAGTGTAGTTACATATGCTGGCATCTGCAGCAGTAACTGTTCTAAAGCTGGCCTTATTTGTAAAAAATGTCTCTTCAAACATTTTTTACAAATAAGGCCAGCACGTGCAGCGCGTGCACCTATGTCCCTGGCATTCTCTATGGTGCTTGGGTAATTTGGCAGAAAATTCACCGGAGCATTGTGTGCGGGGCACGCACGTTGGTCATACGCTATGATAGCGAATCTAGTGCTCCATGCTTTTCATGTCGCTTTGCCCAGCCAGAAGGTCATGTGACATGCTCCGCCGACTTTGTCGTGGCTGTGCGATACTAGCAAGCATGCCCATATGAGGCAACCCCCAGTCAAATCCATTTCAATGTTTCTCAATACCTTTGGTTTTGTCGCACTGGTACCGAGTCATTCGGCAGTGTTTTTTTTGTTTTTTTTATTATGTCCCGCATATCCTGAAATACTGGGAAAGTGCCTACTCAAAATTAAGAAATAATCGCAAGGCAATGGGGGATGGGCGCTTGTCCGGTCATCAATTTTACTTATAAATGTGCTGTGCATATTTTCTCTGATCTTACAAATTTGGAAGTGGGTGTTTAATATGGAATGGGCGGATGTGCAGTATTCTACGGTAGGACTCTAGCAAGATTCTAGGCAAGGGCTGCGAACTGCCCCAAGTCAAACAAGGTCAAGAATTCGCCGCTTCTTAACTTGCCAAGACCTGAGGAGTGCGCTCGACACGGTGTTCTCTCCACGACAGTGGCTCAAACTGGCCTGTAGCCTCCGCTGTAACCCCATGTCACAGTGAAGCCAAACATAGTGCAGTGCTGACCCAAATAAATTTGCTACAGGGTTCAAGTGTTGAAATACAGCTGTCGCCATTAAATTAGTACGCCGAATCGATAGGAATTAATAAAATTAAAATAAAATAAAATAAAAGCTAGGAATTAATAGAAAAATGTGCTTATTTTAATTCTGGTACCAAGAATGACAACTCAAACAAAGCAGGACCTCAATTTTCAAGCTGTGGATGCGGCTATGATCCGTATCTGAATGTGACACAAATGCGAGTTGCGTGCTGCCTCTGTGGAGCGTGACTAACGCATCATGCTATGAACCCAGTAGGGTAATTAGCTGGAAGCATTGAACTTATGCTCCAATTTTTTTTTCTGTGGGCACATTTCTTATTACATTTCATCTGTTAGTGAGTTGCATCTGCATCGGCATTCACAACGAGGTTAACATTATTTAGCTTCAAACTAACGAGCTTGCTGTTCGCTTTGTTCGATACTTCACAAAATTCGTACGACGAACGAGATATTTATTTTCATTAAAGCTGCCCAGAAGAATGACGTTATTTTGAGACAAATGTTAATTCCACTTTTAACTCGCGATTATTCTTTTTTTTTTTTGGCAGTTTGGCATCTAATTACGCACAATTTTAAAGGGTTAAAAAGAACGCGGTTTATATTTGCTTTGTGTTTAAAACGCCACCTTCTACTGTTTGGTCTGGCTGCGTGTGCCCGATGGTTGTGTAGTCCACAATGACATACGTCGATCACACACGGGACCAACGGAGCGCTTAAAAAAAGAAAAAATGCGCGCAGAGCAACAAGTCTTCGTCGCGCTACCCGACAAGTTCATCGACATTTCGGAGCCGGCGTACATCCGCAGCTGCCTTCCGTTCAGCTATCTCCCGACCACCGTTCAAACGAAATCTCTCGGACATTTCGCAAATCGGCCCCTCAAGGCGAAACCGTCCGCGACATTCGCCCACTGAAAACGTAAAACGAAAAAGCCCGGCTAACAATGTTTGCTTTGCTTTTTTTTATTACGCGCAACAGTCGGTGTCACTTTTCCTGGACTGTCGACACTCGAGCGTTCCGCCTAAGCCCAAACCGCTAAAACCGTCGATGACGAAGACTCTCGGAGAACCGCAAAAAAAATCTCAATCCAGAGGTTTTGGTTGTTGCTTTCTCAAATCCGTCTCCAAGATAATCCGCGCACGAGCTTTCTTTATTATACGTCGACGGTAATCTTATAGCTCTAACCCGAGGAATATGCGTCTAGAAGACGCAACAAAAAAGGAAGCAGACAAAAACGCCTCCATGTTCATCCATGGCTGAGGGCGGCGGTGGCCCAAAACGCACTTTGGCGTTCTCTATCGTTTGGTCTTCACATGGTGCAAAAACGCCGGCTCCGACTTACCACGCCGGCTGCGGCCATTTATGCGCCGTTAAGACTTTTGATGCCCCGAAATCCGCTCGCTGGCCAGGCTTCCCCTTGGAAGCCGACGGAGTTGATGCGCACAGGGTACACGTTTATATACGTCTCAGGGATCCGGCGATTGCCCTACTGGGGTCTTTGCGATTCCGTTCTGACGTCACGGGTGCGTCATTGGTGGCGCGCGCCACGCCGTGGCTTAAGTTGAAAACGTTCGGTTTCAAAAACTCATATGGTTAATATATTCGGAGCTCGGAGTTTAATAGAAAAGTATAAAAATTAAAATAATAACGCAATAAAGAAGTTAATACGATTAGTTATAGTAGTTTATGTTTCACAACTTGAACGAAGAATTTGTGCTGTTTCGGTTTCACTTTGTTCACGATGTTCCGATTTGCCACCTGCCAGACCTCCTCGGCTGCTGACGTCAGGGTGGCAAGGCGAGGCTGTGCGTCTCCAAGCAAGACCCTGGAGGGCTGAAATCCACCTCTAGATTAACTCGAGAACAACATCAGCTCTTATCCGCACTTTAGGAGTTCGAGAAAAGCGTCAGCTCTCTGCTTGGGAGCAGAGGAGCCAAGCCGCAGCGAACTCCTAAAGTGCGGATAAGCTCTAAGCAACGACCACATCTGCGCAGCGACAAGAGCGTACGATTGTTTCCCTCATCGGGAAGCGCTGCGCCACCCAAAGACACTGCTCTTCTCCCCCGAGAGGCCACAAAAAGCGCGGTCTTTCGTGAGGACCGTGCTCGGTGTTCGATCGGAACTTTTTGCGCTATGCAATCCACCATTTTAGAAATAACTGGCGCCACCTGGCAGAAAATGAGGTTCCAGGATTCTGAGGATGAAACAATGGGCGGATTAGGAAGCAGCGGGAAGAAGCGCCTTAGAACGAACTTGGGGGGGCCAAAAGATAAGTCAATAGGGAACACTGCGGAAGCCAGGGATGGAAGAGGGGAGAAAGCAACTTTTGTCTGAATTTTGAACGACGGGCTAATATTCTAGGGCAGAGTCTCCAAACCCCGGCCTGTGGAGGCGTTTTTACAAACGCAAAAATAAACGTAAAAAAAAAAAAAAAAAAAAAATGTTTGGCGTTTCGATGCGCATTAAAAGCGCAAACGAAGATACGAAAAAGAACGAGAGAAAGAAAAGCATCTCTCACCCTATTATATCACCTACGATTGTCACCACCACCAATTTGCGTAACTATGATAAAATTCATTTGTGTTATCATCGTGCTTAGCGTCATGTGTAATAATTCTTGCACATTGTCATCATCAGATCTACCATTCTCATAAGTCTTCAGCCCGGTGTGAATATGTCGAAGTACCTATGCGCTTCAATTTATGCCTGGTAAGTTCTCTGGGTAGAAATTATTTTGTGATGTCATAAACAGCAACAGTCTGTCCCTTTTTCTCCTTACTTTACGAGTTTCCGTTTTTCAAACCACAGTCTCAGGTTTCAATCATCATGTATAACTTACACCAGCTCGTCTGCACTTTGACCGTTTTTTCAGCAATATACTAATTACGTTTAAAAATGAAGTATATTAATTCGTCCACCTTTAATATCTTTTCGAAATTTTGCACGAAACTGTTCCAGGAGCAGGGACTCACCAGGATGAAAGAGATTACGTCGACTTTACAACACATAACAAATATACCAAGTTAATCAGACGTTTCATATCCCATACAAGAGACACCAACGGTGAAGCCAAGATGCAGGAATGAGAGAAACACCATCCAGAAAGGCCTATTTAAGCTTCTTTATTTAGTAACCATTTTCCGGCCTTCGAAACTGGGACAAGTTCATTCTCCCCCTGCTCTAGGGGAAGAATGGCGACGTGCGGGTACACAAAGGAGGGTCCGAGCAAGGGGGGAGTTCGTTCCTTTCCCTCCTCTTGAGCACGTGTTCACATACTTTCATAGCAGAAGTCTATGAACCGGCGATTTTCTAAAATGGTGCATTACTCACGAGCCAAAACATTCCGACTCCCCATGCACCCAATCCAACCACCCCGTAAATATGAGACACCGCACGGCAAAGTTGCAAAATTGTTAACTGCAGCGAGCAGTTGTTATACCAAGATTACTCAGCGAGCGACGAGTCACTTTCTTTCCTAACCGCTTCTAAAACCAAACGCTCTCTCAACCAACCGCCGAAACCAAGAAAACCCGAACCTGGCGCAGGGCGAGCGCTCAGCGCTGCAATCCTCGCGTGACCCAATAAGAGGGTCGATACAAATCACGTGACATCACAATGCCAGTAGGCACCACAGTAAGCTAGGCGCTGCCACGTAACCCGCTGCTGGCCGTTGCTTTTGGCAGCCTCTTCTACGTCAGGTAAAGAAGCGAGAGCGGTGCACAGATGGGACGAAGACGAGTGCTGCGTCAACGTACGGCTAGGACTTGTCTTCTGACTGATTGGACGCGAGCTGCAGCCGAGCGCTGACACGACACTCGGGTTCAATCAGTGCCCCGCCCTGGCCTCTGGTAGATGACGTAGAAATCGGGCACCACTATTGCCTTGTTTATAGCACATTTTTTTCTCTTTCTCAATCTCTCTTCTCTGTCCACTCGGCCCCCAGTAGCTCTTTTCTCGGCCCGCAAATAACGCGGAGACGTAAACATAAAAACAAACCGCACGAAAGGATCGCAAGATGAAAGGGAGACAGTGGAACAGCAGCGCACTCGCGGTTGTCGCCGTCTGCTCGCCGGTTTTGAGCAGAGAGCCTAGATTTAAGAGAGGGAGCAACTGGTTGCGCATGCGCATGCGCGCGTTACCGAGTGGAGAGGAGGCTACCCGAAAATAGGGGAGGGGGCGGGGGGGGGGGGGGGGGAGAGAGAGGCTGAACAAAACGTGGGGACGTTTGGGAACTGAATTAAAATATTCTGGCGGGCTAGTTGGTTATACATACTAAATTACAAATAGCGCTAGGACGAGGACAGACAAAGAAGTGGACAGGACAGGCGCTAACTCACAACTGACGGTTTTATATACAACGTTTAGACAACGGTTAGAAAAAGACCTATTTCTTCTTTTTTCAACTCCAGACACTTCCTTCACCTTCTTCTTTAACGTTGTATATAAAACCGTCAGTTGTGAGTTAGCGCCTGTCCTGTCCACTTCTTCGTCTGTCCTCGTCCTAGCGCTATTTGTAATTAAGGACGTTTGGGAATACTGAACTGAAAACTTTTCTCGTTGGCGGGAGACGAAACAATTATAGAGACACCAAACCGGTAGATGGCGCTAGCTTCCGCGACTCAAACCTGGCACAGTTGGGAAACTGCCATAGAGACTGCTCTGAAAAAGTGGCCACGATCTGTCCTCCAGAACCGAGCTAATGGCGAACACAACCCCGCCATTTCTCCCACAGCGGCCACTCGAGGAACTGCACGTTACTTCTATTTTGGCTTCAATCGGCCATTTCGGCGCCGAAACAGATGCAGTGGAAGAGGTTACAGGGGTGCCAACCCCGTCTCCCCAGCGGACGCGCCGCGAATTACTGCCGAAGTTAAAATGCACCTAGGTCGGGACGCGCTACCTGAAAGCACCGCTGAGGCATGGTTGCATAAAAACAATATTAATTGTTTCGCAAAACCTTGCAAACTAAAGATTATAAAAACATCACGCGCCCTTCATTTTGTACTAAACTCCAGAAAATTTCATACAAAAAGAGTCTTTTCCGTTTGCTTTTACACAAAAACATGCTTTCTAAAAGCTCAATGTGACCACAGTACATACGAATGATAAAGAGTGGCGCTATTGTCGCATTTAGCTCGGTCTCGGTGGACGCCAGCGGCCCATGTTTCGACGGCGAGTTTCCCAACTGAGTGTTTTAGTAACGTTGCCTGGCACGTAAGTATAGCAGTCTTGTTTAGTCAAGTATGTCCGGCAGTGCCAATGACCTGTCGTATTTCGCATCGGAGGCAAAAACATTCTGAGCAGTCGATTCTTTTCCCGAATACAAAAGCTTCAAAGTGACTCAGTGTTTGTCGCGCTCGCTAGCGACATTTACTCCCTCGCAGCTCCCTCGACGCGGCGTGCGCCATTTGTTGGCAGCACTTCTCAGTCACTAAGCGGGTATCGTATGCGAAGTGATGGCGTAAACTGCCCAGAACAGTATTTTTAGTACAAAAGCTTTAAGGAGTTCGTGTCGCAGTAACGCCGGCGTCGGTGGCGTGACGGAAAAATCCTGATTGGTCGATAGGGTCATGATGTCACAGCCACATGACCTCGCGCGGGAATTTCAAACAACCCACAACGCTCACGTGACGTAGCGCGTGGAATGAGTGATTAAAACATGATATGTAATGCGAATTAAACGTCGCGGCATGTATCGAATAATTTTATTTTATGAAGTTATTCATTTCACTTAAAGAAAAATATGAATAATTTTAGGCGGGATTCAAACCCCACGACCCTTCGGTTGCGAGCCAGACAAGCTACTGACACGGTTGCACGGCTTGGGAACGTCGCGTTCCGCTCTTAAAGGCGAAGCTCAAGCGTCCTCCTGTAATTTTATTTTCATGCAAAATTTGCTCCTCCGGATACGGTATTCGTGTAAACAGACGGTACAAGCTTTCGCCCCCTCCTCGCAGCTCGCGTTGCAGACGCGGCCCACAAACCACGTGACCCGCCTCGCGCGTTTTGCAAGAGCACTCTCAAGTCCGGGCACACCGCGGTCGCTCCGTGCACCTTGCGCCATCCGAGCGAACCACCAGCGGTAGCCAAGAAGGGCCGCGAGCCAAGAGCAGACCTCTGGGGCCCCGCAGTCAGTGTTTATCCTAGCAGTCGACGGCGATGGGCGTCCGGGTCGTATTTTCGGCGCCGCGCCGCCTGCGCTACCGGCCGCGGCCAGTCTCGCTCGATCTTGACGAGAGCGACTTCTGGGCCGAGAAGTCCGGCGGCGGAGAGTCCGACAAGTCCATGGCCAAGTTCGCGGCCGGGGGAATCACGACCCCGTGGGTCAGGCGGCTCCGCAACGACAACCTGGTTCAGGTCGACTTCGAGGTCTGGGGCGATGTACAAGGTAAGAAGATTTTATAGTTACACGTGGACCTATAAAGGGACCATATTTATTTCTCGAAGAAAGCTCATCGGTTTCGAAACCTCGTACAGACGCTTTTCGTTATTTACTTTTTGTTTGCTTTAGAAAGAAGTGGAGTAAATAATTGCTTTAAGAGCCCTAAAATCGTAAGAACTGTGTCTATCGGCGAATATCTGCGCTATATTACTGTCGAATATCGCTGCGCGAAAATGTTAGCAAGAAGACGATATCCGTGCTTTTCGTATGTTACTCCCACAGGAGAGTGAAATTCGAACATATAATATTTTACCGCTTAAATTACTCCCTCGCACTTAAGAATACGTTCCACCGCATTAGCTGTCTCGGTTGAATCGTCAAACCTGCAAAAAAAAAAAAAAAGAAAAAGGCATGCGTTTTTTTTTTGTATTTTGTTTTGTTTGCTTTTCTAGTATTATCAGTCTTTCGTGTGTTTTTGTTGGATAATATAATAGCACCGGCACGGGGGCATGCCTCAACTATTCATATTATGTCGCGCTATCCTACTGCTGCCTGGTACTGCCTAACATTTGCGACGAATCGAGGAAAAAAGTGCGCGCAAGATACTACACTATATTTTATATACTGCGTCGTATCGTATTATTCAAGTTTCATACCGATCGTCACTGATTCGGTTTGATACCTCGCATTTCTTGGCAATGTAAAGGTATACTTTTCTCGATATAGCGACGCTTTGAGTGTCGCAGACTATACAGGGCCCCGGGTACCGGGCACTATTTTACGTTCACTAAGTTTCACGATGTTATGCGGGCCGAAAGTGGGGGAGAGGAGGATACGAGAACGCGGAGGAGACGTCAGAAGGCCGAGCTCTGGTTGGAATGAATAGTGGGTAGACCTAAAGCTGGGGGAGCCATTTGCCTCCACTGTACTCGTCGAACGCGCTGAACTTTTGCATTCAAACGTGTTTCAGAATAATCTGCAAAAATATTATATCAAAGTTTTTTTTTTCTCGTTTTTTTATGTACATTTATTTTCAAGTGGTACTAATACAAATAATTTTAGACCTTATAACTTTAGCGTTGTTAGATATATAAATTCTGAATATCATCATTCTAGGTTTTTTTCTTTATTAAATGCCGCAGTGTCTATGGAACCTGACCGCCTAGAAATCCATGACGAAAATTTATTTATTATATATGGGATTTTAGGCCGTCCCATTGACTTGCTAAGATTTGATCGACCGTCTCGCTACAAAACTGCATGATAAAATAGTGCCGGATACTCCTTGGTGACGATCAAAGCGTCTCTAAAGGAATGAATACAATTTTTATGGTAAAAAAATATTGGAAAAGGTACTTATACATTTCCAAGTACACGGACAATTTTATTTTTAACCAAATCTGTGATGGTTGGACGTTTGGCGTGTAAATTGATACAGATGCATGTTGCGCAAGCGCTAAAAATGTATTGCTATGCCCGGTAAAATAACGTTTCTAAACAAATATTAAACTGTTTTCTTTTTCGATACAAAGTAACATCGCGCCTTTAATAAGTTTTTTTTTTTTTTTTTTTGCTTTTTTTTAAACTTTGTTGCTGAATGCGTCGCATCGTTTCCCGAGTTCACTTCTTTCGTCTGCTACAGAGAGCATTTCATAACTCGGTTATCAAACGCCGTCTGTCGGCAGCTGTTCATAACCGCGAGTTTACTTCACTTATTTTGACATTCCAGCATTTGGCAACACACTCGATTCCAACAAAGAGCAAAAACGAGCAGCCGCACTTCTTTTCGAGAACAACTTTTTCTTTAATTATTTTCAATCTTCTTCCAACCTTGGCCCTCTTCTTCTCGAAGACACCGCTCCGTGTGAAGAAGGCCTCCTAAACAAACAAAAGATGGCTTCTGTCGGCGCGCAAGGGCGCGACAGAATTAGCAAGTGGGCGCCTGTCGCCTCGACGCCTCGCAGCCGGTCCCTGCTGTCGTCGACACTCTCACCGAGAGCTCTTCGGGAAGGAACTCCGTATGCTTCCGGCTCCGACCAGAATGGCGGCACGAACGAGCCACTTCCACGTCGTGAACTTCCGTACTCTCCGTGAGGCAATAGACATATATTGCTATAGTACCCCAAGCATCAAAGAGAATGCAGGGATTGGTGTTCCACGAGCCGCACGTGCTGGCCTCAGCAGTAGTAACTTTTTCTAAAGCAAATACCTAAAACAAATGGCATCTTGCGCGCGCGTTCGTCAACGCTTTATTTTGGTTATTTACTTCGAATCTTTTATACGGGGAAGCCGTGCGCGTGTGGGCGCGAGGAACACCAATCCCTGCATTCTCTTTGATGTTTGGGTAATATAGCAAATGGTATATTCAGTTGTTGCGCTAGAACCAAACCAGCGCTCCTACAGACGTTCGGGCAGGGTGGGGAACAAAAAATCAAAATGATGTAAAACACGATTTACATCCTGATTTTAATCATACCAGTTTTATTATGACGATTTAAATGAAACATTTCCAACAAAAAATAATACCGAACCATTTTTTTTTTACTTCCCTTTGTCTATTATTTCATACTTTACTGTGTGCATTTAATTTGTACTAAAAAAAAAATAATCGAGCAAGAAAATTTTAATTTAGACCTCACAGAGCAATAAACAATGCACTTTTGAGCGAATGGGAGCATTAAGCTTTCTTCCTTCTTTACATCGCTCGTCAGTTCCGCAATGTAAATCAGAAATCGAAAAAAAAAGGAAAAAAAAGAAACGAAATCTGGAAAAGCAATGCCTTAGTGAAAGCTAACCACAGGAAGCGAAAGAAAAAGCAAATGCAGCTTTTTAGCTAACGAACAAAATCATTCCGTTTTTCTTGTAGTATGGCGGGATTTGTATTAATAAAAAAAAATTAATTAATCTGTAATTTAACTTTACTAATTTTTTTGTTTCCGCGTTGTCATCGGTGAATGAACGAAATAATCTATCTGACGTGTTTAAAAGTACACGTAATGATTTACAATCCCTATTTCTTAGCAACAGTTATTGAAATGAAATAAATCTTATCTAAATTCAATAAATTTAATTCATAAAAAATGAATTTTTTGCGTTTATTATTTTTTTATTTTATTACCTGTGCACGCTCGCAGATGCTGCGTTCTCCCAGAAACCATGCATGCAAAGTGCTGCTTTCCTACATCATGCCGTGCTCGGAGTCGAGGGTTATAAGTTGTAACACATTAGCTTTACTCCGTCTATCCGTAAGCTGACGGTACTGCGGGAGCTACGAGGTCGCCGGACAGACCAACTAATCGCTTCCCCCCCCCCTTCGCATCACCTGATCGGTCCCCCTCGAGTATGAATTAACGAGATTCGACTGCATATATATCAGGGTGTCGAACCGGAACCGAACCGGTATTTTTTCCGGAACCAAACCCGAACCGTTATAGTGTTATCGCGATGAACCCGAACCGGAACTGAACCGGAAAAAAAATAACGGTTACCGGCTCATGTCAAAACGGTTCGGCCACGCGCTGTTGAAAATTAATGTGCTATCAATGCCATTTGTTTTTCAAGTGCCGTCAACTGACACACACCTCGCTTACAAATTTTTCTTCACTCAGTCTTAGGAATACAAACGCTGCATCCATGAATCTTGACAAGCGCTGCATCCATGAATCTTGACATAGGAACCAGTATTGCGCTGGTCGCGGCTTGCACGGAAGAAAGAAAATTAAAAGGCTGTGCAAAAAAAAATAAATCGGGATTTCATTTTCCTACAGTCTCGTAAATCCTAAATACTGCTGTGTGCTCATTTCATAACACGTTTCTAGAACGTGATGTTGCAATTTTTTTTTTTTATTTTGATGTTATTTTGATTTTGTTATTTTCATGTCGCAATTTGTCATTTATAATTTCCGAACCGGTTCGCGAACCGGTTCAGCGCCCCGAACCGGTTCGCGGATCGAATTAATCGAACCGGAACTGAACCGGAACAAAATAAATTTACCTGAACTTGAACCGTAACCGAACCCGTATTTTTTTCGGTTCGACACACTGATATATATATATATATCGCCACGTGACCTTGATCCTACCCTTGCTTTTGCGCTGAAAGGGGGTTTCAGCGCAAAAATAAGGGTAGGATCATGGTCACGTGGCGACATATATGTATATATGCAGTCGAATCTCGTTAATTCATACTCGAGGGGGACCGAAAATTAGTTTGAATAAAGCAAAGTTTGAATTACTGGGAGTTTCCTCTCCTATAGAGACGCACAAGATGGGACCTGCATGTAAGTTCGAATTATCCGCAAGTTTGAATTAAGAGAGTCTGAATTAACGGGATTTCACTGTGAATATATAGACGTATGACCTGTTAAACGAGCACGTAGCTTCGACCGCGCTTTCAACTTGGATGTGAAGTGCGGCACTACAATGGCCGATGGGTAAGGCCAAAAGGGAATCGGCGACCGCATATATTCCCCTCCGATAGATATACGGCACCCTTATCGCTCTAATTGACTTTATAGGTGTTACAGCCTGTGCCAGATAAAGATATACGTCGAATAATTACGACCTATATCTTTGTTTCTCTGCTACAGCCGGTTTGAAAGGCGCGACACTGTCTTGATTGGGGAAATAACTCCGCAAAGAGGGGAGCAGGAAAGCGATAAAAAAAAAATATATATATATATATATATTTATTTATTTATTTATTTATTTATTTATTTATTTATTTATTCATTCCCTCAGGGCCCGAAGGCATTATAGAGGGGAGTGGACACACACATCTAATTGCACACAAAGACAAACAGTAATTAGGCAGGTAAGCATAAAAATCCAAAAGCAGAACATTGTTAAAACAAAACACTGTCAACCAAAATCCAAAAAATATTCGCAAAGTGCAGCTTTGAATCCGGCGCTCTCGGCTATGCTGGCAACAGGTGCGGGAAGGCGATTCCAGTCCAGTGACGTCATGGGTATGAAGGACTGATGAAAGCTTGAGGTGCGACACTGAG